GAGAAGCAGGATTTGGGTGCCCAGAAATCTGAGTTGGGCTATTATAAAGCCTGTTCATGATCTCTCAAACTATGGCAAGGAGGCTATGCACACCTAGCTCCTCAGGATAATAAGGACCCTAAAAAGCAAAGAAAATGATAGGTAAAGTGGCTGACCAATGTGTCTATTGTCAGAGAAACAATGCTTAAACCAGACCTCCCATATCTCCCTTGGCCAAGGTGGTACAATTCAGGGGAGCCATGTGAGGGGAGGGACTAGCAAATTGACTCCACTGTTACGCCTATGTCTTGTAGAGGATTTAAATATCTCTTGGTGCTTTCTTGATGCCTTTACTGGTTGGATAGAGGCTTTTCCATGCTGGACTGAAAAGCAGAAGCCATGAAGGCTTTACTAAAGGAATTTATCCCTCGATTCAGTCTCCCTGAGTCAGTCCAGAGTGCTAATGGACCTGCATTCACTTCTAACATAGTGGTAAAAACTACCCAGGCCTTGGTCATACAGTGGAAGTGGCATGTAGCCTGGAGACCAGACTCCTTGGGAAAGACTGAAAGGTCTCATAGAACTCTCTCTTTTTTTTTTTTTTTTTTTTTTTGAGACGGAGTCTCACTCTGTCACCCAGGCTGGAGTGCAGTGGCTGGTGGCCAGATCTCAGCTCACTGCAAGTTCCGCCTCCTGGGTTTACACCATTCTCCTGTCTCAACCTCCCGAGTAGCTGGGACTACAGGCACTCGCCACCATGCCTGGCTAATTTTTTTGTATTTTTAGTAGAGACGGGTTTTCACCATGGTGGCCAGGATGGTCTCGATCTCCTGACCTCATGATCCACCCGTCTCGGCCTCCCAAAGTGCTGGGATTACAGGCTTGAGCCACCGTGCCCGGCCCTCATAGAACTCTCAAAGGTATCCCAGCCAAGTTATGCCAGGAGGCCCAAGATAATTGGTTAAAGCTGTTACCCATAGCCTTGGCCCAAGTATGGGTAGCTCTCAGAGGAAGAATGGGTCTTAGCTCCTTTGAAATGTTATATGGGGCTGGGCGCTGTGGCTCATGCCTGTAATCCCAGCACTTTGGCAGGCTGAGGCAGGTGGATCACTTGAGGTCAGGAGTTCAAGACCAGCCTGGCCAACATGGTAAAACCCCATCTCTACTAAAAATACAAAAAAATTAGCTGGGTGTGACGGTATGTGCCTGTAATCCCAGCTACTCAGCAGGTTAAGGCATGATAATTGCTTGAACCTGGGAGGCAGGGGTTGCAGTGAGTCGAGATCATGCCACTGCACTCCAGCCTGGGCGACAGAGCAAGCCTCCATCTCAAAAAAAAAAAAAATAGAAAGAAAGAAATATTATATGGGGTTGGGTGTAGTGACTCACACCTGTATTCCCAGAACTTTGGGAGGCGTACCCGTGAAGAGGATCACTTAAGCCCAGGAGTTCGAGACCAGCCTGGGCAAGAGGACAAGACTCGGTCTCAAAAAAAAAGAAAAAAAAAAAAGGAAGCATTATATGGGGCCGGGCGTGGTGACTCACACCCGTATTCCCAGAACTTTGAGAGGCCCACCCGTGAAGAGGATCACTTAAGCCCAGGAGTTCGAGACCAGCCTGAGCAACATAGTGAAACTTCATCCCTATTTAAAAAATAATAATAATAACCAGGCATGGTGGTGCGCACTTGTAATCTCACCTACTTGAGAAACTGAAGGAGGAACACTGCTTGAACCCAGGGAGGTCAAGTTTGCAGTGAGCTATGATGACACCACTGCACTCCAGCCTGGACGACAGACCCAGTCTCAAACAAAAAGAAATGTCATACGTAAGGCCTTATCCAGGCATGGCCAGCCCCTTCTCTTGCCCAGATGGGGAGATAGAAAGGGTGATGAAGCATTTCATATTATTCATCTGGAGTCATTGGTTACTGTTGTCAACCACCTCTGCAACCCCAGCCTCCTGGTCCCCTCTAGGGTAAAACTTCATCTGTACAACCCAGGAGACTGGGTATGCCTCAGGACCCGGAAGGCTGAGTACCCCCAGGACCAGCTCAGCCTGGTATGGATGGGGCCCTACCTAACACTTCTAACCACTCATTCTTCTCTTAAACTCCATGAAGTAACCCCTTGGATCCATCACTCAAGAGTGAAGAGGCTGGGCATGGTGGCTCACACAGAGTGGGGAGGATCACTTGAGGCCAGGAGTTCAAGACCAGCCTGGGCAACATGGTGAGACCTTGTCTCTGCAAAAAATAAAAGAATGAGCCAGGCACGGCTGATTGGTGGTGCACGGAGGCTGAGGCGGGAAGATCCCATGAGCTCAGGCGTTCAAGGCTGCAGTGAGCTGTGAGTGAACCCCTGAACTCCAGCCTGAGTGATATAGCGAGACTCTGTCTCTAAAAAAACGAGTGAAGAAAACCCAGAAGCCCCCAGAAGATGCCTCCCCAGCATACATTTGTGAACCCATCTCAGACCTCAAATTGATTTTTAGAAGAAAAGGCTCAGACAAGTCAAGCGTGCCCCTTACGCTTCTCTTGCCATAGTAGGCATCTTCCTTATCCCTGCAGGAACCCTCATGGTGTTGCCCTTTTACACTGTGGAGATGCTTAGGTGGTGGCAAATCCCTTCATAAAACATCTTAAAATGGCCCCTCTCCTTCCCTTATGCTTTTTGGCCCTTTTGGTTGCCATGGCCAGTGGTCTCTGGGAGGCCAATGTAATAGTCAAGGTCTCCCGTATCACAGCTGGTGGGAACAATCTGTTCGAATGTTGGATGTGCCATAGGCATCCCCACACTTCGATGGGATGACCTGTTGCTTATCCTTTGAGAGGAGTTGTTAACATCACAGGGTTGGCCAGGCGCGGTGGCTCATGCCTGTAATCTTAGCACTTTGGGAGGCCGAGGTGGGCGGATCACAAGGTCAGGAGATCGAGACTATCCTGGCTAAGACGGTGAAACCCCGTCTCTACTAAAAATACAAAAAAATTAGCCGGGCATGGTGGCGGGCGCCTGTAGTCCCAGCTACTTGGGAGGCTGAGGCAGGAGAATGGCATGAACCTGGGAGGCGGAGCTTGTGGTGAGCAGAGATTGCACCACTGGGCTCCAGCCTGGGCAACAGAGCAAGACTCCATCTCAAAAACAAAAAACAAAAAACAAAAAAACAAAAAAAACAAAACATCACAGGGTTGTGTGGACCTCACTTGCTAGGGCAATGTCACTAGGAGAATAGGCCAAGTTTATTTACATTGTTCAGGAAAAGGAGAAAAGAGGCAAACATACTACAAAAGAGTATTTACAGTGTCTCACCCTTGTTTAGGCAATGTAATATGCCTAGGACAGTATACTGTGGGCTTTCTGGGGCCCCTCGGGGTAGCAGCCCATAATGCAACCAGCCATCATAAGAAACCAAAAAAAAAAAAAAAAAAAGGCAGGGGGCGCTATTGGACAAACCGTGGAAGCTGCCAGACTTGCTGTGGGGTGGCCGCCCTTTCTTGCAGGGGGGTTGCCTGTTATGAGGTCACTCTAAGAAATTTAATCTGAATACCCAAGGCTCTGGCAGCTTAAACTGGAGAGGTTCTCCAAAATATGCATATTTCTCTAAATTCACTAGCCAATGTAGTGTTGGAAAAGCAATTGGTCTTAAGACTATTTACTAGCAGAACAGGAGGGTTGTGTGTGGCACCAATACCTCCTGGTGCACTTGGGTAAATACCTCCAGAGGAAATAGAGGCTAATGTAAAAGAAATATTCAACACTTTGGGAGGCCAAGGTGGGTGGATCACTTGAGGTCAGGAGTTCAAGACCAGCCTGGCCAACAGTGAAACCCGGTCTCTACTAAAAACACAAAAAATTAGCTGGGCATGGTGGTGCACGCCTGTAGTCCCAGCTACTCAGGAGGCTGAGACAGGAGATCGATTGAACCCAAGAGACAGGGGTTGTGGTGAGCCGAGACTGTGCCACTACACTCTAGCCTGGGTGACAGAGTAAGACTCTGTCTCAAAAAAAAAAAAAAAAGAGGCCAGAAATCGTAGCTCACACCTGTAATCCCAGCACTTTGGGAGGCTGAGGCAGGCAGATCATGAGGTCAGGAGATTGAGACCATCCTGGCTAACACAGTGAAACCTGGCTCTACTAAAAATACAAAAAATTAGCCAGGCGAGGTGGTGGGCGCCTGTAGTCCCAGCTATTCAGGAGGCTGAGGCAGGAGAATGACGTGAACCCAGGAGGCGGAGCTTGCAGTGAGCTGAGATCGCACCACTGCACTCCAGCCTGGGCGACAGAGCGAGACTCATCTCAAAAAAAAAAAAAAAAAAAAGGAAATATTTAAACAAGCAGAACAGCTGCATTCCTTCAACCAGAAGGGTAGCTCAACCAACGAGTTACCCTTAGAATGCAGTGAAGTCTGCTATACCTCACTTCACCTCATTGGTACTGTGGCCTCTAGTGGCCTCTGTTCTGTTCCTTTTCAGTCCCTGTATATTTAAACTGATAGTAAACTTTGTGTCCTCATTTTGTATAACAGCAGCAATACCAGCTCCTTTGAGCAACTTCAGGTGACCCAAAAACTTATTTGAACTCAGGACCGTGAGAGTTTCACTCCTCTAACTTTAGTAGCCTCACTGCTCCCTGTCAGCATGAAGTAAATAGAGAAGAATGACCTTCATCCCTAACCCCTCAAGAATGAGGGGTGGGATGTTTCGGGGGGGTTTGTAACTGCATCCAACCCAATCTGGCTTAGCTTTTGTGTGTGTGCATGTGTGTCTGTGTGTGTGTGTGTGTGTATGTATGTGAAAGAGTCTTGCTCTGTCAACCAGGCTGGAGTACAATGGTATGATCACAGCTCACTGCAGCCTTGACCTTCTAGGCTGAAGTGATCCTCCCACCTTAACCTCCCAAGTAGCTGGGATTACATGTGTGTGTCAGCATGACGAGCTAATTTTTTAAATTTTTTTTTGTACAAATAGGGTTTTGCCACATTGCCCAGGATGGTCTTGAACTCCTGGGCTCAAGCAGTCCTCCCACCTCAGCCTCCCAAAGTGCTGGGATTATAGGTGTGAGCCATGGTGGCCATCCTGGCTCAACTTTTATGTAACAAAGTTGTGAGTTGTTTTTCAGTTGCCGCGGTCCTCAGGTTGAATTTGAAGGTCATTTAACCTGACTATGTCCAGATGAACCAGGTATGCAGCTCACAACTAGTTGCTGTAAAACAGCTTACCCCTGCCTGGCGTGGTGGTTCACACCTATAATCTCAGCACTTTGGGAGGCCGAGGTGGGTGGATTACCTGAGGTCGGGAGTTTGAGACCAGCCTGACCAACATGGAGAAACCTTGTCTCTACTAAAAATACAAAATTAGCCAGGCATGGTGGCACATGCCTGTAATCCCAGCTACTAGGGAGGCTGAGGCAGGAGAATCGCTTGAATCTGAGAGGCGGAGATTGTGGTGAGTTGAGATCATGCCATTGCACTCCAGCCTGGGCAACAAGAGCGATACTCCATCTCAAAACCCAAACCCAAACCAAAAAAAAAAAAAAACAGCCTACCCCCTTCCATCAGCTCTAATCAATAACTCACATCTGTTCCCTTGGTTACCTGCAACCATTGTTCCCCTAAAACTGCATGTCTCACACTCTTCACCACTGTACCTCATGCCCACCTTCCCTTCCATATTTAGAACAATATTTACAAATAGCCAATCAGGTCAGCTCAGATTGTGTAGTCTGACCCCAGCCCATGGGGGAGTGACATAGAGGTAAGGACTATGTGTCAGAGATAAAAAAAAACCCTTGCTCTCCTTTGTTTGATGTGCTCTTACGATCTTGATTGATGTGACTGGCACACTTCTGCAGAAGTAAATTGCCTTGCTGAGAAAACTTTTGTCTGAGTGCTCGTTTCACTTTGTGGCACCAAGCATTTATTCCTAGAGCATTTTTGCATCCAACATTTCTGGGGGTTCCTCTGGGATCCCCTTTCTCCTTTGGGAAGGGGTCTTTGGTCACCCCACCCAGGGGAGATGTGTCCCACTGCCCCGTTGTGGTGGCCTCAGGGATGGAAGGTCGAGACCCACCCGTTTGGACGAATAAACCCGGACTCCCAGCAATGTGGGGAGGAAAGGCTTGCAATACTGCGGTGACCAGGTAAACTCTGTGCATAGACCAAGGTAGGAAATGTCACAGGGGTGACAAAGTACTTCCTTGGTGGTCGGGGGAGGTCAGGGCATTCTGGAGGTTGAAAGTGTGAACAAGCACTACTGCTGTGTGGAGTGAGTGAGTCTAATCTGCGGTTCTGTGGTCACCTCATATGGCTTAGGGTGGCCCTCCAGGGGTCCCCTCAGGGGTTTATACTGACCTGCCTTAATGCTAAGAGGGACCTGAAATATTCCTGCAAGGGAAGTGGCCAGAGTGGACAAAGTGAAAGAAGGATGCAAGGAGCTTTCATCAGGTGGGGTTAAAGGATAGGCAAGACATCTCTAATATGTGAGAATTGAGCCTTAGTAAAGCTTCCAGTGAAGGATAAGCAAGATACCCCCTAATATGAGGAGCTGAGCCATAGGGAACCCCCAAAATTGGCAAGAAATCCTTAATATGAAGGGTTGAGCCACAGCAAGCCTCTGCTAGGCAAGAAATTCCTAATACAAGGGATTGCACCTAGCCAAGACCCAATATGGGAAATATTACAAGCAAAAAGGATAAGAATCTTAACAAAGATATACCACCTGATAGTCCCTAGATCTCATGAGAAAAAAATAAGAATAGTAACAAAGATATACCACCTGATAGCCCCTTAGGTCTCATGCTAAAATGTTGGAAAGGTAAGAACTAGACATAAGAAAAAGCGACAAATGATAAAATACTGCTGTTCTATTTGGACTCAAAGACCTATCCTTAATGCCTCAATCTTCTGGCCAAAGTTTGGGTTGACTGAGGATATACTATGTCAACTTTTAATTCAACATGCGAATAATAAAAGCCCAGTTTCTAAAGAAGAACTGGACTATGCTCTTTGTTGGAGCATAAGACCTCTTTGTTGGAGGCAAAGACCATCAGGGGTCTTTTCCCTTATGCACCTGCCCCTACTGTAAAGACAGTGAAGAAAGGAGCTCAGGGGATCCTGGCAAAGAGAACAGCACACAGGATCCCCTAGACCATCCTCCACCTAATATCCCCAAACCTTCCCCTAGTCCCCCACCTAGTATCCCCTACCCTTCCCCTCAGGCCCTGCATAAGTCCCCTTCCCTGAAAGGACACCAAGCTCCTGATTCGCCAGATGGCTTTTGCTGGGCTAGCAACATCAAAGATCCGCCACAACATGTTGTTGGCATTATCCGGCTCATAGTGCCCCCGCCATGAGAGGCAAAGCCCATGCTCCTGCCCCCCGGCTGGCCCAGAGTCCCAGCACCGTATCGACAGTGGCTCTGTGGGACACGCGGGCCAGGCCACAGCCTATGCCCCAAGCAGACACCTGCCTTACTTTTGCCAGGGCCAAGTAGTACAGGGCTTCAGCCATAGCTCCAAGCAACTAGGCATCCCTGCAGCTAAGTTTCCTAAGCAAGTAATAGATAATCTTTCAGCTGATATATCCACTAGCATTTATTGTGGTCAGGCCAGTGTTAAAGGTAAAAATAGCCACTAGAAAAGAAATTTGATTCTCTAAAGTCACTTGTATTAAAATGTACCACCAGAAAAGTATTACATGTGTATAAGTATGAGGCTCTTCTGTTAAAAAGGATGATCTAACATTAGCTCCTGATAATTCACTTAACCTAGCAGGTTTCTTAACAAGAGATCCAAATCTAAAAAGAAAGCACACATGTTTAGATTTAACTAATTACCATACAAACATCTGGTCAAACTTAAGAGAAACCTGCTTCGAGAGTGATTAAGGGATAAAGGACACAACGGGTGTTCAGTAATGAATAGAGAAGTTCCTAGAGAAATAAAGTGAAAAAAATTGTTTAATAATTAGTCCACCCAAATTTGTAAGCTGTTTGCACTTAGTCAAGCTTTAAAGTACCTGCAGGACCAGAAAAAGGAACCATCTATAGTGATCTATACTGATTCTAAATACGCCTTTACAGTAGCTCCTACATTTAGAAAATTTCAAACTGAATTAATAGTATAGGTTAAAGCCTTGTTCATGAGGAGTTAATCACCCAAGTGTTAAATAACCGGTTACTGGAAAAGAAGAAATAGCTATTGTCCATGTCCCCAGGCACCAGAAAAGCCTGTCTTTCAAAATAACCTAGCAAATAAGATAAGTGGAACAGGCTGCCGTTTCTCCTATAGGCACTAAAGAGAACTCAGAGAAGTGTTATTCAAACCTTTTATGAAGGAAGTCCTATCCCACCTATATTGGGGGACTCATTAAAGACCCCAAGCTATGTATAGCACAAAGTTTAATTTATACCCTTAGCCAAGTTTGCCATAGATCAAATGTCTTCTATCCTCCTATTCCCCTAGTAAGAATGCAAACTACCTCTCAAAACAATCCACTGACAACATTCCTACATACTTGGCTTATTTTCCACTTTCTCTTCCTTCACAGCTTAAAATTTTCCAGTACAGGCGCTGCCCCTAGAGTTCCCAGTACATCAACACCAGCCTGAGGAGCCGGCCTAGTTCTTCTAACCACTGAAACTGCCGTCCAAACAGCAAGGAAAGATGGAGCCGTCACACCTGAGTCAAGAAAGCACTGCCAACCCTGAAGTCGTGGGCCATTATCCAAGGGAAAAACCCCCTCAAACTAAGGTTAGGAAAAATTTAACTCTCTTTTATCTATACTATTACCCTTTCTTCTTTCCTCATTCTATTGCTGACCTTGTTATCAATGTAACTAAGCCAGACTCACCCCAAATCATTACCTTTGATGCTTGCCTTGTTATACTTGTTATACCTTGTGAGGAGGATGAACAATGGCAAAGGTATGTCTCTACTTTAGAAAAATACCTCTACTGCTTCAGAGAAGCCACTGACCCTGCACCTTGTTCATGGAGGGGGTACCAAGGCACCCAAAGTTAGGAGATATGTTTTCAATGGGCAAATGTCATCCTGACTACCAGTGAACACGGTGGGACCTCCCCAGAAGGCTATACTGACCTAAAATCTTACCTCCACCTTACCAAAGGAACCACCACCTCTGACTGTCAGCCTTACCATTGTAACCCAGTAATTATCCCTATTAACGCCCCTACCTCCACCAACCCTGCGCCCCCTTTAGAACGTTTTTATGGCTTAGGAACAGAGGTCAATGGATACAACCCTATAGGCTTCTTTAAAATAACACTTTATTGACCTCCCTTCTCCTTCTCCTTCTAAACCTTCTATCCTGCCCCAAAACAATGCCAAGGTAAATATTGTAGAAGTGAAGGCTCTAAGACAAACTCCAGCAGCTGCAACAGGGTATCAAGATGTAAATACCTGGTTGGAATGGATTCAATATTCCGCCCGCACATTGAACAAAAGCAATTGTTATGCTTCTGCACACAGCAGACCAGAGGCCCAGATTGTCCCCTTTCCACTAGGATGGTCCTTCAGTCGACCAGACAGCTCTTTTCCAGGATTCCACAGCCAGAGGCAACAAGTTGTGTTGCCTCTCTCTCTATCATATCCTGAAGTTTAACACCCTGTGGTTCAGCCCTCAAGGGCCATCCAGCTTCCGTCTCCCAACATCAATTTCACCTCGTGTCTCACATGACAGGGGGAGAATTTGGTGTTCCTTGGAAGCTTAACAGGATGTAGTGAGTTCAAGCCCTTCCAAGAGTTTACTCATCAGTCTGCCCTTAGTCATCTTCAAGCGGATGTACAGTAGTATTGTGGTGCAAGTAACTGGAGAAGCACTTGTGCTCTTGTCCAATTGGCTATCCCTTTCACCCTGGTATTTCATCAACCTGAGAAAGAAAAACTACAACACCAAAAAATAAGAGAAGCCCCTTATGGGTCCTTTGACTCTCAAGTTTACATGGATGTCATTAGGGTCCCCCAAGGAGTGCCTGACAGATTCAAAGCCCATGACCAAATAGCTGCCAGATTTGAATCCATATTTCCACAGGCAACTATTAATAAAATATAGCTTGGATAAATTACATCTATAATAATCAGCAGCGGTTTATTAATTACACGAGGGATGCTATCAAAGGAATAGCCGACCAATTAGGGCCTAATAGCCAAATGGCTTGGGAAAACAGAATAGCTCTAGACATGTTATTAGCTGAAAAAGGTGGAGTCTGTGTTATGATTAAGACCCAATGTTGTACCTTCATCCCAAACAACACTGCCCCCGATGGGAGCATAACAAAGCACTTACAAGGACTTACTGCTTTACCCAATGAATTAGCTAAAAATTCTGGAGTCAATGACCCTATTTCAGGATGACTAGGAAATTGGTTCAGTAAATGGAAAGGAATCATAGCCTCAATTCTTATGTCTCTTGCAATCGCAATAGGTGTACTCATTCTTGTTAGGTGTTGTGTCATACCATGCATCCGTGGGCTAATACAAAGGATTGTACAAACAGCACTTACTAAAGCCTCCCTTAGTTCTCCTCCACTTTATTCAAGTAAGCTTTTCCTTTTAGAAGATCAAATTGAACAGCAAAGCCAAGACGTGTTAAAAAAGTTTGAAGAGAAAGAATCGTAAGAAAATTAAAAGGGAGGACTTGTAAGATACAATGAATTTCTCTGAGTTTCTCTTCAAAGATTTAGTCTGCTAACTTCCTTGTCCTTTGTTCTCAAACTCAACTTTCGTGTTCTTTCTTGCCCCTGGTTACTGTAAAACAGCCTACCCCCTTCCCATCAGCTCTAATCAATAATTCACATCTGTTCCCTTGGTTACCTGCACCTGTTGTTCCCCCAAAACTGCATGTCTTACATGGTTCACCACTGTGCCTCACATCCCCCTTCCCTTCCATATTTAGAAAAATATTTGCAAATCGCCAATCGGATCAGCTCAGATTGTGCAGTCCAACCCCAGCCTATTGGAGTGACACAGAGGTAAGGACTATGCATCAGAGATAAAAACCTCCTGCTCTCCTTTGTTCAGTGTGCTCTTGCAATCTTGATTGACTTGACTGGCACCCTTCTGCAGAAGTAAATTGCCTTGCTGAGAAAACTTTTGCCTGAGTGCTGGTTTCACTTTGTGGCACCAAGCATTTATTCCTAGAGCATTTTTATATTCAACAGGCTGGGTGCTGGGGCTCACACCTGTAATCCCAGCACTGTAGGAGGCCCAGGTGGGCAGATCACCTGAGGTCAGGAATTCGAGACCAGCCTGGCCAACATGGGGAAGCCTGTCTCTACTAAAAATACACAAATTTAGCTGGGCGTGGTGGCACACCCCTGTAATCCCAGCTACTTGGGAGGCTGAGGCAGGAGAATCACTTGAACCTGGGAGGCAGAAGTTGCAGTGAGCTGGGATTGTGCCACTGCACTCCAGCCTGGGTGACAGAGTGAGACTCTGTCTCAGAAAAAAGACTTAAGGAAAAATCTGTTAGGAAACTGAATTGAAGGGAGGAAAAGCATTACCTCTTGCCTTTACCTCTTATAAAGTTTAGAATGCTGCCAATGGGAGGCATGGATTAATTTCTTTTCAATAGTACTTGGTTGCCCTTTGCCTATTGGCATCTCTAATCCTTTCATTCCTGGATCGAGTGATCCCTGGATTGTGGGGACTTCTTAAGTGAACAGTGCAATGCTATGACAGCTACATAAAGGAACTAACTAGTAATCTTGGAGCATATAAATCAACAGGTAAAAAGGGCATAGCTTCTGCCAACTAACAAGTCTTGCCATCCTTTTTGACCAGGAGATTAGGTGTAAATCAAGGTTTTTAGAAGAAAGCATGCACTGTCACCAATGTTTCAGTCAACAATGGACCAAATATACAATGGTGTCCCCATAAGATTACAATGTCAGTGAGCCACCACACCTGTAATCCCAGCACTTTGGTAGGCAGAGATGGGTGGATCATTTGAGCCCAGGAGTTTGAGACCAGTCTGGGCAACATGGTGAAACCCTGTCTCTACAAAAAATACAAAATAAACCAGTCATGGTGATGCACACCTGTAGTCCCAGCTACTTGGAAGGCTGAGGTGAGAGACTCACCTGAGCCCAGGAAAGTCGAGGCTGCAGTGAGCTGTGATGGAGCTATTGCACTCCAACCAGGGCAACAGAGTGAGATCCTGTAAAAAAAAAAAACAAAAACAAAAACAAAAAAACTATAATACCATATTTTTACTGTAGTTTTTCTATGTTTAGACACAAAAACAATCATTGTGTGGGCTGAGTGGGCAGCCAATTGCGCAGTGTCGGGACTGATGGGTGAGCCAGTCTGGACCCCCATCCACTCACCCGCCACCTGTGGGCCACCTGAGGACTCTGACCCCGCTCCCACCGCCTGGAGCCGCCTGATGGATCAGGATTGGCTAGCTTGGGGCCACCAGCGCCGAAGGTGAGGCTGCCAGGAAGGGGTTGGGGGCACGTGAGCATCCCTCTCTGCCCTCACCTCCTCCACTTCTCCACCCCAGCCCACCATGACTCCCGGCAGTCTCCGGAGCCCGACGCGGACTTCTTGTGGTAGCCAGACGTTATCATCCTGTAATACAATGGAACCGTGTTCATCATTAAATTTTTCCAAGCCCTTTATTATGCCGAACAAGCATTTTAAAAAATGGAAAACTATTTGAGACATAAACAGTTGTGCCATGTAATTTTTGTTACTGGTGATTGCGAATTCCAGCTCACAGACTGGTGCTCTCCTCTGGCTCAGACTATTTTGCTGCCATGTTTACTAATGATGTCACAGAAGCAAGACAAGAGGACATAAAAATGGAAGGTATAGAACCAAATTCATCATGGTCCTTGATCCAGTATGCTTATACAAGCCACCTTGAATTAAAAGAAGATAATACTGAGTGCCTGCTATCTACAACTTGCCTTCTTCGGCTTTTGCAGGTTCTAAAAGCATGTTGTAAGTTTTTTTTTGTTTGTTTGTTTTGAGACAGAGTCTCGCTCTGCCACCCAGGCTGGAATGCAGTGGTGCAGATCTCAGCTCACTGCAACCTCCGCCTCCCAGGTTCAAGCAATTCTCCTGCCTCAGCCTCGCGAGTAGCTGGGATTATAGGCACCTGCCACCACGACCAGGTAATTTTTTGTATTTTTAGTAGAGACGGGGTTTCACCATGTTAGCCAGGCTGGTCTCATGCACCACTAGCTTTCTACTCCCACGTCCTCATGCCCTCACCTGTTTACCCTCACGTCCTCACCACCTGCTTCTTTGTTTGATCACCAATAAATAGTGTGGGCTCCCAGAGCTCCGGGCCTTTGCAGCCTCCAATCTAGCGCTGGCCCCCTGGACCCATTTTATGCACTTCTAACTTGTCTTTTCTTATTCCTTTGACCACACCGGACTTTGTAGCCCCCATGGCCTGGTGTTGGGCCTGATCACCCCAACATGTACACTGTGTGTACAGATGTCAAAAAGGAGAGGTGGCATAGGAGTAACGACCTGGAGCGGACTGCTGTATGCTATAGGGGAACACAATGCTCTCGCATCCAACTTGACTTCCAGACTCTCTGACCATGTGGAGACATCTGATCCCAAAACAGATATGTGGACTACAGTAGAATCAGTAAGCATCAGCAGAGATGCAGTGGGGGTCTGTTTACTTGGTGATAAGTTATATGCCATTGGGAGGTATGATGGACAAGCATACCTGAATACGGTGGAGGCTTATGGTCCCCAGACCAATGAGTGGACCCAGGTTGCTCCACTGTGCCTAGGAAGAGCTGAAGCTTGTGTTGCGACTGTAAAATTATAATTTAGTGCTCTGTTTTCTACATGAAGATACTCTTCCTTTATTAATTTAGTACAGTTATTCTACTATCAATGGATACATTTTTAGTAAACATGCATTGCCACAATCCTGGGCACAAAGTGCCTGATCTCAAAGCGAAGATGGTAAAATCAGGGAGGAAGGAGTGGATGGACCAGGATTAATTGCTTTCATTTCTTAGTAAATGAAAACTGCAGCTGGTGGATTGTGAACATACATTCCTGACATAATATATTACAACAAATGCACTGCTCTGGCACATAGCCCAGTGCTAGCAGGGGATTCATTTATTCAGTCAAACACATCTTACTCACATCCAGATTTATTTTCTTACAGTGCAAACACACCAGATGGAACTTCTAAAATGTTGCTTTCTGTAAGTTTATCATATATGAGTTGTAGTAATGTGTTTGTTTGCTTGTTTGTTTAACCATAACCACTATTTGAATGATATACAAAAGATAATATTATTTAGTGTTTTCAGAAACATTGGCATTGTGTGTGTGTTGGTTGTGGATTTTGTTTCTAAAATTGGCTTAGTCCAATAAATAAAGAAAAGCATTAAAGACTTAAAGTGATGATAACCAAATACAAACTTGATAAGATCTTTGAAGTCGATTTAAATATTCATTCCATCTAGACTCACCAAAAACTATACGTCAAGAAGTTGAAACATGATGTTTCACATTAAATTTAAGATGTGCAGCCAGGCGTAGTGACTCACACCTGTAATCCCAGCACTTTGAGAGGCCGAGGTAGGTGGATCATGATGAGGTCAGGAGTTGGAGACCAGCCTGGCCAACGTGGTGAAACCCTGTCTCTACTAAAAATACAAAAATTTGCCGGGCATGGTGGCGCACACCTGTAATCCTAGCTATTCAGGAGGCTGAGGTGGGAGAATTGCTTGAACCCGGGAGGCGGAGGTTGCCATGAGCTGAGATCGTGCCACTGCACTCCAGCCTGAGTGACAGAGCGAGACTCCGTCTCAGGAAAAAATAAAAATAAAAAATAAATAAATTTAAGATATGCAAATGTATGTAGAGAAAATAAATGTTATATACCCTATAATGTTATTTCACCTAATTAGTACTTAACTATATGGATTTCTTTTATATTATAAAAGATGTTTAGATTTTTGTCTTTTGATATTGACAAAATTGTTTGGATATTCTTATGTTCTCAAGTCAGCATCTGCCTCCCCTGCCTTATTTCTTTTGTTTTGCCACAGTTAACCCATTGTGCTTCTTTGCAATCAAACAGTTTGGGGAGGGGGGAGAAGGGGCTTTGGGGAGGGGGAGAAGGGGCTTACTGAATGTCTCTAAGTTTAAAGTGTTTGTTACCCAAAGTTTGGTACATTTGTAAACTCTAATTACATATGTGAATGTTAATACTCTCAGTGAATTGTTAGTTTGCAAAAATGCACTGGGCAGTAATATTTTGTGATAAATCCTACACTACAAGATATAAGTAAAAGAAAATACTTATCACTGTGTTACTCTGTGTATGGTATTCAGTACACTAACACGCTGTATGGGTTTGTAGCCGGGGAGCAGGTGGACCACACAATATAGCCTAGGTGTGTAGTAGGCTATATCATCTAGGTCTGTGTAAGTACATTCTGTGACGTCTACACGACAAAAGTACCTAATGATGCATTTCTCAGAATGCATCCCTGTCATGAAGCAATGCCTGGCTATACTGCTAACCACCTACACTGCCATCAAGTTAGGGAAAAGTCCTCCTGGATTCCTGTGAATCACACCAAGCTAGACCCAGATCAGCACTCTGAGGACAACTGGAAGACAGACCCTCCCTACAGGTGACCTTGAAGTAATCATTTCCCAGACTGGTTCCCAGGCCTCAGAAGCAGATGACATTTTAAAGTAGATAGCTTTTCTCAAGATCATGGATCAAGAAACTTCACTTCTACCTATTTTCTCACATTGGGACTCCTTGTCCAAAAAACAAAAGCCAAAAGAACCTCTTCCTTTTAATGAAGCCTCTTTTTTCTCTGGCCATTTATTAAAAAGCTGACTGGAAATTGCTTATGTCAATCCTGTCCTCTGATTCTCCCTCTGATCCTCCACTCTGGGTTCTCTTTCAGATTGTGTCTTATTCTTAGGAACCCTTACTGTTTTCTCAACAGGTCAAAAACAGAACTGACACCCCTTTACACCAACTCTCCAAATCCTGTCCACTTTAATTAATCTGATTGCTGGTTATGTCAACATCTAGATCATGCAGAAGAACTTGAACCAATTTTCATTCCTGCCAACGCCAGGACTCAGTGGGCCAACTATGAAAACTGGGTATGTGACAAGGTGTGGCATCCACAACTGAGAATACAACATCGCTTTACTTCTTTTGATGGATTAATTGGACATGGACAAACCTCTATGGAAGCTCAAGGTCTGTCCTGTGCTCAGGTAGTCATTAGAAGGAAATTTGCCAGGTACGGTGGCTCAAGCCTGTAATCTCAGCACTGTGGCAGGCGGAGGTGGGCGGATCGCTTAAGCTCAGGAGTTTGAGACCAGCCTGGGCAACATGGTGAAAACCTGTCTCTACACAAAATACACAAGAAATTAGTAGGGTGTGGTGGTGGGTGACTGTGGTCCCAGCTACTCAAGAGGCTGAGGTGGAAGAATCGCTTCAGCCTGGGAGGTGAAGAACGCAGTGGGCTGTCATCACACCACTGCACTTCAGCCTGGGCAACAGAGCAAGACCCTGTCTGAAAAAAAAAAAAACAAACAAAAAAAACCACACACACACACACAGAAAAGGACATGTTCCTTTTGTTTTAAAAACAGGTATGGGCCGGGCGCGGTGGCTCAAGCCTGTAATCCCAGCACTTTGGGAGGCCGAGATGGGCGGATCACGAGGTCAGGAGATCGAGACCATCCTGGCTAACACAATGAAACCCCGTCTCCACTAAAAATACAAAAAAATTAGCCGGGCGTGGTGGCGGCGCCTGTAGTCCCAGCTACTCGGGAGGCTGAGGCAGGAGAATGGCGGGAACCCGGGAGGCGGAGCTTGCAGTGAGCTGAGATCGCGCCACTGCACTCCAGCCTGGGCGACAGAGCGAGACTCCGCCTCAAAAAAAAAAAAAAAAAAACAGGTATGGTGCTGAATGATTTATAGGTGACATAGCAAGATGATATTACAGTTGAATCCTGTGATTTGGTTCCACAGTATCCTCAAGCCTCCCATGAAGGTTATAGAAGGTTCTGGCACTGACTCTTATGGTACAAATACTTGTCGTATCACCAGATGTTACAGTAAGCTCACAATCCTCCTGTGTGTAACATGGCGTAGCTCATCTGCTCTCTTCGTTAGACTGCCAAACACCAGACATTAAATATGGGTAGACTCAAAATCTGGATGAACTTGATCACATGACAAAACCAAGCCACATACATGCAAAGGCCAAACTGCAGGCCTCCTATATCAGATATTTTACATCCCATTCTTCTCCTACAGACTGACAAAGACACATGGAAGATGGACGTGTGCAGATGCCTACATGATAGGTGACAAGACACCAGCCCCCAACCTGGTGGGTCATGAGTTCCGCTCTGACCTTATCTGTCAACAACACTGATCTTTTATCTTATGTGGCAACAGATTATATAAAGGTTCTCACCTAAATGGTCAGGTCAATGTAGACTTGGATACCCAACACCTTCTGTCACCAGGTATCACCTTAAATGCCAGCCAAATCACACACTTGGGCTCGTTTATACACAAAGTAATACTACATAAACATACTAGATATGACATCATGGAAAACCCACTTGTGCATTACAATTCTAAGTTATTTTCAGTATTGAGATCCTTTTTTCCAGGTGTTGGAAATTATGTGATGGAAAGGGCAGTTCTAAATCTTTCCATAGTAATAGAATAAGAATTCAGTATTACTCTGCAAAAATTGAAAGCACTCCAATTAGAAGTTAATAGTTTAGGAATTTGTGGCCCAGGGAGGGGCAGTCTCTCTCGGATCAGCAAGGCCTCAGGATGTCAAAGCAGTCCGGGCGCGGTGACCCACACCTGTAATCCCAGCACCTTGGGAGGCTGAGGCAGGAGACCCACTTGAGGCCAGCACTGGGCAACATGGCAAGACACCAGTACTACAACAACAACAACAAAAATTAAAAATTAGCTGAGTGTGGTGGTGCATGCCTGTAGTCCCAGCTACTCAGGAGGCTGAGGCAGGAGGATCACTCGAGCCCAGAAGGTCAAGGCTGCAGTGAGCTATAACTGCACCACTGCACTCCAGCCTTGGTAACAGAGTGAGATCCTGTCTCAAAAAACAAAACAAAACGTATGAATGAACCTAGAAAATCAATCAAAACCATAATACAAATTTTAATTAAAAGTAATGGCATGCCAGGCACGGTGGCTCACGCCTATAATCTCAGCACTTTGGGAGGCCAAGGCAGGTAGATCACTTGAGGCCAGGAGTTCGAGACCAGCCTGACCAACATGGTAAAACCCCATCTTTATTAAAAATACAAAAATTAACTGGGCATGGTGGCACGCACCTGTACTCCCAGCTACTTGGGAGGCTGAGTCAGGAGAATCACTTGAACCCAGGAGGTGGAGGTTGCAGTGAGGTGAGACTATGCCACTGCACTCCAGCCTGGGCAACAGAGTAAGACCCTGTCTCAGATAAATAAATACAATAAAAATAATGGCAAAAACCACGATTACTTTTGGATCAACCTAATATAATTGCACCACTGCACTCCAGCCTGGCAGAGTGAGACCCTGTCTCTACACAAACGTAAAATAAACATTAAAAAATGTTGGCCGGGCTCGGTGGCTCAAGCCTGTAATCCCAGCACTTTGGGAGGCCGAGACGGGTGGATCACGAGGTCAGGAAATCGAGACCATCCTGGCTAACACGGTGAAACCCCGACTCTACTAAAAAATACAAAAAACTAGCCGGGCGAGGTGGTGGGCGCCTGTAGTCCCAGCTACTCGGGAGGCTGAGGCAGGAGAATGGCGGGAACCCGGGAGGCGGAGCTTGCAGTGAGCTGAGATCGCGCCACTGCACTCCAGCCTGGGCGACAGAGCGAGACTCCGCCTCAAAAAAAAAAAAAAAAAAAACCGGTATGGTGCTGAATGATTTATAGGTGACATAGCAAGATGATATTACAGTTGAATCCTGTGATTTGGTTCCACAGTATCCTCAAGCCTCCCATGAAGGTTATAGAAGGTTCTGGCACTGACTCTTATGGTACAAATACTTGTCGTATCACCAGATGTTACAGTAAGCTCACAATCCTCCTGTGTGTAACATGGCGTAGCTCATCTGCTCTCTTCGTTAGACTGCCAAACACCAGACATTAAATATGGGTAGACTCAAAATCTGGATGAACTTGATCACATGACAAAACCAAGCCACATACATGCAAAGGTCAAACTGCAGGCCTCCTATATCAGATATTTTACATCCCATTCTTCTCCTACAGACTGACAAAGACACATGGAAGATGGACGTGTGCAGATGCCTACATGATAGGTGACAAGACACCAGCCCCCAACCTGGTGGGTCATGAGTTCCGCTCTGACCTTATCTGTCAACAACACTGATCTTTTATCTTAT